ACACACACACACACACACACACACCCCATATACATACGCACATACATATCCATACACACCACACACACATATATATATATATATATATGTCTACATACACTTTTACATATGTATGTGTGTATTTATATGTATTAACATGTGATTATGGCATGAACTTGATGTCAAGAACAAAAAAAATTAAAAATATTTTTTTACCATTTGTTATTTTAACATGGCATTCAGAACCATTAATTCTACTAATACTAATATAGTCTACTTCATTATATAAAAATTCTGCAGAATATACAGCTCATATTATTGAAAAAACATTATTAAATTCTTAGAATGAGATTTAGACACCTTTCTCTAATATAGTACAAAAGTGTGTGTGTGTGGCAGGAGGTGCGCATATATATGTATAAAAAAAATTTTATAATATATATATATATTTGTGGACGTTTTCCATAGATTCAGAATTTGTTCGTCGCTTTAACATTTCCTTAATATAGTATAGTATTATAAGCAAATCTAATATTTTGGAGCATGATGATATTATTTGATGTACAATATGAAATTTTCAATAATATCATCATGCTTCATATTAATATTTTTATAAGAATTGTCATTACGTTTTTATCCCAGGGAAGAATAATTTATCTGTTTCAGCTTACTATTTAGGTAATTAAGTAAATGTGGAAAAACTATCATCACATATTCTTCATTTGAATAAAATATCTGGCAATTTAATATAAAATATAATACTAGGAAGATTTTTTATAAATAAATGATAACAAGTTATATTATTATAAATGTTATATGATCATTATAATATAGAAGAATCCATATTTAATACTATTGTGCTACAATACAACAAAGGTAGTGTATGGAAATATATATATATATATATATTTAAAGATGAAAATTTACTAAATCTTATTCAAGTACATATTATTTTAAATAATAAATAGATAAATAAATATATAGATTATTAAATATTGTTATTAATGAATAATATATAAATATTTCAAAATAAATCCTACCAAATATAAGGAATTAAAATCTTTCTTTCTTTTGGATAATTTTTGAAAGTTTTACAATACCATCGATGAGATAAAAATGCACATTCCACCTGAAAAGAATTTATTTTTAAATCTCTTTCTTCTTTATTAAAAAAAAGAAAATATATAAAATTATTTCTTACCTGATTCAGTATGACCCAAATAGTAACATAATGATATGTAGAAGCTTGCCAAAGAATTATAGACAACATTAGATATATTAGTATCTCAAATAATTGCAATGGACCTGCTATGTATTTAAATAAACCATCAGATGGTATTTTGTATTCATAAGATACAACATCACCATGCAAATTTTTCCGTATTCTTGCAAGAATAAAGTTTATTTTCAATTGCATATATGATAGCCATAAACATATAAGTACG